GAGTTATACTCCTCGAACACATAACCAATCAGTATTCAGTAAGTCATTCTTTCAAAAACATAACTGCTTTATTACTAACAAGAGCAGTAATCCTGATCTTCTAATTCTCTTCATTTTGTCACGACATCATTCTGGATATCATTCTATTGTAATTGGAATTATTTCCAATCTATTTCTATTGTATTTGGTATCCGGACGATAATAAAGGATAAATTGCTGTACTTTTCGAACATAGACAAAACCGGTACTCTGTAAATCATTCCTTTAAAACTTAACTTCTACAACTAACGAAAACAATATCCCTCTCCTTACTCTTTTTTCACGACACCTGGTGCGAGATGGATCAAGAGGGAATATCAAGACTGAAAGAACATACGACTCATACAAGTGAGAAGCGGTCTAAATGCGAAATATCCAAGAAAGATTTCGCTGCGTCATCAAGTCTGCGTACACAAACGAGGATTCATATCGGTGGGAAGCCATTCTTTTGTCGAAATGCGAGAAAAATTTCGCCCTATCAGAAAATATGAGAAGTCACATGAAGATTCATGACAATAGAGATTCAACTGCACCGTATGCAATAAAGGAAATCCTATTTGAAATCACACATGAAGAATCACATGATGGGCTGATAGACGCATTTTAAACCGAAATATGCATTGTCATTTTGTTATATTTTCTATAAGGTAAATTCATTTTTCCTTATTGTATTAGCATTCTATTGCTTTATATGTATATTAGTATTGTTCCTCTAAGACTTATTTAATATTTCTCTTATCTTAGTGAATAAAATTTCCCGTTTCGTGGCTACTTGCATCTTACTAAACAGCATTTTCATTATTAATGCATATATGACAAGCAGGTAACTTGCATGCCATGCATGAAGGATTTCCAATTAAGTGTTACTATTACTAAATTACTGATGAAATGATATTGTCTCATATGAATTCCTCACTCAATTATTGCACAAACAACATGGAAGTAAATTTTTAGCAATGAAAAGGCTTTTCTTAATCACAACATTTGAAGTATCCCATCATTTAATAGGGTTACCCATCCACTTTGTTTGTCAACTCACAGTTCCATTTCAAAGTTCATCCATCCCGACTACGGTCTCATACCAATGAGTTGCTCAACAGTTGATTTGCATTCAATGAAAGTTCCAAATCGTTGACAGATCGAGGAGACAGAATATGTAACGTCAATTTTATATTTTAAATCATCAATACGGCAATGTTTTGTTATATTCGATACAGATAAATCAGCTCAAAATTGAAATTTTGCAAACTTATTGTTATGAATTTTAATTCATCAAATTAAAGTAATGATTTCGAGTTAAATTTAGATCCAAATATACATCTACTATCTTTTAATTAATTTCGGATCGATTTGTATGATGATCGATGATAACTTGATTCATCAATTCATTGCACGAATATGCAATATTGATATATCGTTAGTGATGGAACATTGGATGTTTTCCGTGATGCTATTATCCATGATCATTCGATCCTTTGTGATCTTTAGTCCTCTGATGGTTTTTGGTCTATTAATGATCTTTGACAACATGATTATATCAATCCTATCTTTCCCGCTATCATCTCGTCTACTCGAAATGGAAATTCATTAATTACAATGTTGGTTTATGAACTTCATTCAAATGAACTAAAATTAATTCAAATCCAAGGGATGAGTTGTTATTATTAAACAAATACCGGTAAAAATGTACCATTTATATTTTAGATGACCGCTGAACATTCCCACACAAAAAATCGTAATTTTGATATTAACAAATGAGCTGATAGCAATAAACGGATAATCACATTTAATGCTTCGTCAATTATTCCGAGGTGATTAGGAAAAATGCTATCCGTTTTATTAGCATCAAATTCACTTCGCTAATAATTTCACTTGAAAAAAAAGTGGAAAGTGATTAAGACAATGATTTTTTTTTGTCAGTAATTAATAAAGCATTAATTTTCATGAAATAAAATGAGAGAAATACAAACTATTGGAATTTTTTCATCAGATAAAACCAGTGAAGGAAAAAAGGACGAAATAAAATGTTGGAATTAATAGAATCGAAACTTCAAAACTAATTATTTGGGTTTTTTTTAAATTCATTGATTCTCTTTTTTTGCAAACAAAAAAGGAAAAATTGGAAAGAAGTTTTAAAAAAAGCCTTTAAACTAGTATGTTTACATAATTGGCAACTAAATTCCGGCAAGTTCATACCCCAAATTGATGACCAAAATCGACTAGAAAAAGCTTGCACGTGAAACACGTAAAACATGTTCGTAATTTACATATACTGCATGCAATTCATAATATACCATATACAAGAAATGCTTAAGATTTAATCAAATTAGCATTTTTGTCTTACAATATTTCATTTATAATCTTAGAAAATTAATCAAAAAGGAAAAGATCTTAAATCACAAAACAAGAAAAAAGGAAAAAATAATAATTTACAATAAAACTAGCAATTTTTCCTTAGTTTAATAATTGATCGTGTACATGTAGATTCTTCATCCTTTGATAAGTAACTTTTTAATTCAAAACATTTCCCACCACGTTGACATACATATAGTTTGACACCTGTAATTAAAAACTACATGATGTAATATTCTGATGTGGTAACAATTAGGTGACAAATAATACTATACATATATCCGTAAATATTATGTTACAATTAAAATGAGCAAGAAATAGATGAATAAAATGTACTATATTAATAACATCGCTTAAATTACCAAAATTAATTATTAAATTAAACCAGTTTGAAAGTTGCAACTACCGATACAACTAAAAATTTCAGCAAATTTAATTTTGAAGATAATTTAAAGGCTAGTTTTTGATTTTCACATTTTCACACTTAGTAAAAGAAAGAGAATAAAAATTGCGCAATAAGGATTTTTGAACCTTCTGATAGTTAATATCTGCAATTAATATTTTGTAGCTAAATTTGGTAATTAATATTTTGCTATTGCTGCTACTAACGTATTATTATTATTATTATTATTATTATTATTATTATTATTATTATTATTATTATTATTATTATTATTATTATTATTATTATTATTATTATTATTATTATTATTATTATTATTATTAT